CTAAACTGTTTTTTCGAAATGCTTCGTCTTTTTTATTCGGTATTTGTCGCGCTTGGTGACCGTTATTCGCGACCTCTGGATGTGACTAATAGAATTATCCGAAAATATCTTATTTTAGCATTGCAACTACAATGTTTATCATGCAAATTTAAATAATGGCGTATTTTTTGGTACGAATCGATAATTTTAAAATTTTTTAATAGACAAGTATCTATATATGTAATAGAAAGATCTCAATATTTCCGATTGCCATTTACGTCCCGCCCTACTGAGTTATTAATCACTGATATTTATCTATTTCTATGACCAGTGAACAAATCTGAACGTGTAACAATGTTGGATGCTCAATTCAATGTGCTGCACACATGCCTAGCACTGGACGTTTTAGGGCACTGCGCCTTGTTTTACGGCGACAGGTTTGACCGTTACATATTTCGCTGTCTTCACAAAGTGCTTTTGAAAGTGGGTATGTAATGCTATCTATTTGTTTTTATATGCATGAGTTAATTAAAATTTATCTACATGTATTCTTAGCAAGTAGCAATACAATAGTTAACCAAGCGGCCAACTTTTGTCTGGTTTCCATACAAAAGGCTCTGAAATTCGCACAAGTCACACATTTAATAGAAACACACACAGATTACATCAGTTATCACCTCAATTCAATCTTAAAGCGGGTATGTACTTATTTACATGTGTATGTGCATACATATATGAAAATTTTGCATCCTATTTTCTTTTTATGTAATATTTGTATAATATGTTGTAGTCACCCGAGAGTTATGCTGCCGTGGACATACTCACAGTTGTGCTACAGCTAAGCAGTAGAAGATCGTTGCCGCATTTAGAGAGCATTTTCCAAACGATTCGCAATGAATGCAGCAAATCCCAACAATCTGAAAATATTGATGCTTTTTTGCGTGTCTTTAACGCGTTCCTGCGACATGTTGCCCGTTGGAAGATAACTAGCAATGCTGATGTCGCGTCTGTGACGATGCAAGTGGAGGAAATGCAAGACGCCGATCCTCTGCGAAATTGGCTAGATATTTTGGAAAGGCCTAGTCCTTTCGAAGAAAGTGATGCCTCTAATATGGAAAGCTTATCAAATGCAAATCCTGCAACCAGCGCTGCTGATGATGTTGATATGAAGGATGAAGAGGTGGACTTAAAACCACAATTGCCACGTCATATTGAGATGGTTAAAGACATAATAAATCAAGTACTGAAATACGTTGGATTTAGAGAAAAAACTCATCAGATACTTGCCCTCGAGTGTTTGGTTTGTGGGGTGCCTTTGCTGCATGACTACGAGGATGAGCTTCTGCCACTTGTGCATTTAATATGGTCACCTTTAGTAGAGAAGTTCCGCAATAGGGATGCAGTTGTTTTGAACCGCTGTTTTACTTTGTTGAATGTGCTTGCGACTTATGCCAAGGAATTTATATTAAAGCGTAGCGTAAAGTATGTTACTGCGCTTTTTTAAATTAATGCAACAATAATATTTTTTTTTTTTGCTTTGGTAGCGATGTGGTACCCTTTTTAAATGATTTTTTGAGAAACACAGCTAAGCATAGCAGAGTAGAGGGAATTACAGTGTAAGTTTTATTTAATTTGTTTCATCGGTACCTTAATACAAAAATACGCTACTTCATTGTCTGCCAAAGTCCACCTTACTACAGGAGTCGAAAGACTACTTGCAGTCTTTATTAGAAAAGAGTTTTTTTTAGGCAAATCGCAACTGAAAAACTTTAACTTGTATACCGTTTTTAATTATTCTGTAAACAGACAAAATATTAGAGTATTTCTGCATTGGGGTTACGATATATGTATGTATTCATATGTACATATGAACGGTATCGGTGATATCTATAGCACGCCATTTTAAAGTGATATTGTTTGCCACCTATATTTATTTTAAATTTTAAGGAATTTTCAATTAAAATACAGTTCCTTCTCTAACAAAGCCCTTATAAATTCTTGTCGCTTTTTCCAATTTTTACATTTGTTAAGCCAACTACAATCAAGCGCAGATATTCCAGTGCTATTTAAACTTGATCATGTGGTTGTTGGTTCCACAATGGATTTTCTTTAAAAATCGCCTCAAGCTCAATAAAAAATGTTGAATATAATTCTTATAGGCCATAAATACTAAAAACGAAAAACAAGTTTTCTACAAAGCTTTAAACTTTGGTTTATATGGGGTTTGTAAGAGAATGAACTGTATTTTAATTGAAAATTCTTGAAAATTAAAAAATAAACATAAGGGGCAGACAATATCACTATGAAATGGTGTGCTATAGATATGACCGATAATTAATTTTCCCAATACTAATACATAGTTTCTTTTAATTTTTTCTTTCAGTCAAACACAAGAGTATAAACTACAAGTGATTCTGCTCGAAAACCTTGCTAATCTCATTCAGAGCATACAAATTGATGGTAAGCATTTAAATGAAATTGCTGAAAATGTTTCCTTATATCTTGCCAAAGAGCAGCCGAGGGAATTGCAAGATTCAGCTGTAAAGTTTTACCACAGTCTTTATTTATATAATGGACCTCTAACGTATATGGTTGTGCTGAAGAAAGCGCATATAAGTAATTATAGAGAAAATGCAGAAAAAGTGTTAATGTATTTGCTTAAAAAATGTACAACAGCTGTAATTAAATAAGGTAATTCATAATTTAAGAAAAAAAATCATTTTAAGAAAGTTGGTTTAAACGGTTTTATAAAGGCATACATAGTTCAGCTTAAACAAGAATAATCAGGTTGCCCAATCGCTCTATTCGCACAGCTCGATGTCTAATAAGACTGTAAATAGAATAATGATGATTAGTATTTTGAAAAGGGGACATCGTGCTGAAATTTTTCGTTGAACAAAGGTTAAGGGGTTATGGCGTATTCTACTTTTTCGTAATTTTTTGCTTAAATGCGATGTCTGTGGAAGTTTTGTTGTTCGCGCACTACCCTTAATTTTTGATAAGAAATATTTTCTCGAAAACGGTCTCTTTCAAAATTATACCATGCTTAATCTGTTGTCGAAAAAAGTTTAAATTTGTTGGACTGTGTAATTAAGAGCAGTGAATTATTTTGCACGAATATGCATATGTACACACATATGTAACAGTGATGGCAAAATTTTATTTTCTAAATACTAAGTACAAAAGTATTTAGGTTTCTAGGTTGAAGTAAACACCACAGCACTATCTACTAATTATGTTGGATGTTACTAAATACCAAGTAATTAAGTATTTTCTTATTTACACAGTACAAAATACTAATCATCAGCAAAAAAAAAAAATGGTAAAAATGGGCGCCAGATGATTTTTTATTAAACTAAAACCCGATAAAACCCAAAACGTTCCAGAAATTACAAAAATTATAACAGGAAAAATCCCGAAGAGTTAAAAAAAACCCTGATATTCTAAAAAAAAAAATTATCAGCAGAATAAATTAAAAACAATGGGCGCGATTTTTTAGCCAGATGATTTTTTATTAAACTAAAATTTTGTGGGCTATAAAACTGCAAACCCAAAAAAGTTCTAAAGGTTCAAATGAAATAGTTCGAAATTTTGTTCAAAACTTTTTTAATTGTTCTATATTTTGTATAAAGTTTGAAACTTCGATTTTTGTGGTTTCGATTAAAGCATCAACAATATTTCAATATTATATAACAATATTTTTATAAAAAATAACAAAAAAACATCAGCTTGCAAAATGTTGTGAAAGTTAAAAAAGTCAACATATGAATACTTGTTTTAGTTACTGTATATTTGTTGGAACATTTCTTGCTCATAATAATCAGCCTTATCATGAGTTTCATTTTCCCCGAACCGGTTCACTTTTCACTTTTGGTTTCCATGGTTTTACTGTGGGCGAATGACAAATTTTCGGGTGAATTTTTTTTCAGGCGAAACTCAGGATAAGGCTGAATACGAGGTGAATTTATATAAGGTGGTGTTACTAAATCAGCTGATTTTGTGTATGTGTTTCGCCTCACGGCTTCTTATGTCAAATTGAAAAATTTTGTTTGAATTTCCACACACACTCTTACAGATTTTGACAGTTTATGCCGCCAAAGCAAAAACAAAATATATGTAAGTTTTTGTTATTGTACTCCTGCTATCACCTTATATAAATTCGCCTTGGCTGAATATATAAATCGCTCGAATATATTTAATAAGCTCGAATCGTAACATCCGTTCACGGCTCGAAAACGTGATACGTCCGCGCTTACGATTTAATTGGTAAGTTTCATGTTCAAGGCGCGGTCTGAAAGCACAAGTTTCTAAGCCGCACTGCTCGAGTGGCTGGAACGGCCTAGGTTCCGGTCCGCGCCTACGCTTTGGTTGGTGAAAATAATCACGGGTGATAGGCCGTTGTCTCTCTGGGTCCCTGAGTTTCTTCAAAATTTAAGTTAGTGTGTCGCTGGTTGATACCCATTCACTGGCTCCTTTCATCATGTAGTCGACTACTGACTGTGACGTAAACACTCATCCAACTGCTAGTTTCAGATGATTCATCTGCCTATGGAATCGATGGCACTCTAAGAATACGTGGTGGACATCTTCTTCCACGCCACTTCGATAGAAGTCGCAGTACGGGTCGTGCTCATGTTTGAATTTAAACAGGTATGCATTAAAACAGCCATGACCACTCAAGAACTTACTCAGATAAAAATCCATTCCGCCATGCGTTCTACTAAGCCAGGATACGAGATTTGGTATGCAGCGATTGGTCCAACGACCTTTAGTCGTACTATTCCCCTTGTTTTGCCACACTATGTGCATTAGGGTTTTCCAAAAACAGCAAAGTCGTAACTCAAGAATTCTACACCATTTTTACGAAAAAAATTATTTTCCCCATATAAAATACATGGAAAACTTTGGGCGCTTTGAGCGACCTCTAAATATTTTTTGATTTCAAAATAAAAAAATAAGGGGATATTTTTTCGGTATAGAACAAGCCTAGGGGGTGAGAGCATAAAAGTTCCGACTTTACTATTTTTCATGCATTTTTGGACCACCCTAATGTTCATACATATGCACTTACATAAGTTTAGAAGAAACTGGTACAGTTTTGAAGTCCTCACTACTTAATTGACGCTATAAGCCGAACCTTTCTTTAATGTGCTAAATAATGCCAATCAAACAGGCGTTACAACGTTATCATTTTCGACTACCGAGACCCCAGAAGCTTGACGTTAAAGCTTAGAAGAAAAAGTTTATGTATTTATTTGATATGCTTTTCACATAAAATATTGCATAGTGATTTTATTAATTTTTAAAGTGTAACTGATTTTTTTTTTCTTAATTTAAAATGCATGTCCATATTTTACCAACCACGTTTTAGCCACTAACGCTTGTCGCTTTTGTTTGATCTATTAGAATTAGAAAAACCCGCACATGGGTCACTGCAATCATTATTTTGGACTGTTGGACAGCAAGGACTGCAAGGATCACAGCAATCGCATGTGCCAGAGGTGTTACGCGAACGTATTTGTTCGAAGAAAGGGGCATAATTAGCTAAACCCGACAGCCCCCTCGACGATGTTGATGTATATTTTCTACTGGAATTTCCTCTACCCGGACTCGACCCGGATATATTAGTCGACGGTATCGTAGTTGCAAACGAAATAGGCGATATATCATTAACATCTTGTACAGATCTTCGTCGCCTGGTACGCGGTGATGAGCGGCCTGTAGTAGACATGAATGTAGACGTTGGACCTGAAGGCATTGAAATATCGTTCAGATTTTGACTTGCTGGTGACATTTTGCGTTGTTGCGAAGAGCCTGTGGTGGACATTCCCATCGTTGGCATTGAAATATCTCCTAGATTTTCGCTTGGTAATGACATACTTCGACTTGGAGCTTGTCTACTTGCTCGACTTCCTCTAGAATCCTGAGGATATATGTGACTGACAGAGTGAATTGACGTTGTTGTTTTGAGTTCTTCCTTTAATGCGTCCATCAAGGGCGATTGTCCACGCTCACCTTGAGTTATGGTTTGAGAACCGTCTTTTCTTGCAGGCGATACCTTTTGCTGTTGTTGATATGTTCCGCTTTGTTTTATTGTGATGTGCGTTTGCTCTACAGTGGCTGCACCGTGTTCACCAAGGTCTTTTCTACCTTCAGATCTACTTCTGGCCGTATCTTCTCTCCTAGCACTTTTTCTGCTTGAATCCGGTTGACTATACGAGAGCCGACGTCTTGCTCCGCCAGGTCTAGATGTACTCGAAGATTGAAGTGTCGACGGCGTCCTAGGTAATGTAGGCATGCTTTCATCCGCTAATCTAGGATCTAAGAGGAAGCGCCTGTCCAAAGGTGATTCGTATGAAACATCTGCAAAACTTGGCATACTGACACTTGAAATGTGCTCACTGGCTGGTGAACTGAAAGAAGGCGCAGATACATTTCCTAGCATTTCGCTTGGTAGATTTGTAGGTGTGCAGGGCGTCCTGGGTGGTGGAGTTTTCTGGTATGATGGCTGACTTATATCTTCAAGTCTTTCACTAGGAATGCTTTTAGGTAGCGAACGCCTTTGTGGCGAAGCTCTAGGTGGACCGCTGAAGTACGCTGGTTCACTTATGTCCATTAACTGCCCGCTGGGCAAACTTCTTGGGAAAGAACGTCCAGGTGGTGAGCCAATAGGTGTGGGTGAATGTAAGGAGAAGTAAGGCGCCTGTGGGGTAACTGGCGTAGGCGAACGAGACGCTGTGCGAGGTGATGGCCTAAGCGAAAATCGCTGTGGGGAAGTAGTGCTAGCTGGCTCCGCTTCAAAAGCTCTTTGAGGAGAATGTTGTTTAGGCGAATGAGTGTGTGGTCTACCACGCATATAAGGCGTATATCCAGATGCGCTTGGCACAGATGAATGAGTCGCATAAGAAGCTTGTGGCGAAGAAACGTAGGATGATGCGAGCGTCGGAGGGCTTTCATCCGCCAATCTTGGATCCAGTAGGAATCGCCTGTCCAGTGGTGAGCCACAAGAGGCATTTTCGAAAGATGGTATCGACATTTGTTCCAACATTTCACTTGGATACGAGACGGATGGAATCGGTGGACTTCGAAACGATGGTGCAGAAATATCTGTGAGTTGTTCCTCGGGTACACTTGATAAATGTTGCAAAATATTTTCGGTGGACATAGAAGGTAAATCATCAGCACACGGCGGGCTCATGTCGGCTAAGTTTTCGCTGGGCATATCCGAGATGTCAAAGCCCAACCGCTTGCGAACAGAGCTTCGCAAGTTTTCAATTTGTGTAGCGGGCCTAGGACTTTGAGTAAGAACCCCGGAGTCCGCCGAAGGTGGAACTAATCTTCTTGGTGTTTGGTGTGGAAATTGCGTTCTTATCTCTTTGGTGTGCGTTTTCATAGAGCCGCATGGATCAATCGTCACAACTATGTGCTGAGTGGTGCTTTCTAGTTGTCCATTCTCATTTTCTGTGCGTTCTATAACAGTTTCTCGAATGCATTCACCTGGCGGCATCACTCCACCGCTCATGCTAGGAGATCCCGGACTTCCACACTGCGAGGAATACATTTTGCCTTTCAATGCATTAAACCGTTGAAGAATTTCACAATACGTCCCATCAAACCTGGAGTCGCCTATTGCCCTAGGCGCTGATCTCTCCGGGGAAATAGATCGCGATCCAGCAGAAACCATTGTTGGCATGCTTTCGTCTTCTAAATATGGATCCAATAGAAATCGACGATCTAAGGGGGAGCCGCAAGAAGTGTCTGCAAATGAAGGCATCGATTCACCTGATAAATGCTCACTGGCGGGGGACTGGTACATCGGCGGGCTCATGTCACATATCATGTCTGATGGCAGATCGTGTGGCATTGATGGCGTTCTGGGGGGTGGCGTCATTTCATAAGATGGTGCACTAATATCAGCTAAACACTCGTTGGTCATGTTACTGGGAAAATATCTTCGCATAGGTGAAGCTCTAGGTGGGGTAATGAAATATGCTGGCTCACTTATGTCCGCTAAACACTCTTCCGGCAGATCCGTTGGTATTGAATGCATAGGTGGGGATCTTATTGGCGTAGGAGAGCGTAAAGAGAAATGTGGTGCTGGCGGTGTTAGTGGACATACAGGAGATGGACTTCGAGAAAGTCGCTGTCTTGGGGATGGAGAAAAAGAGGGCACAAACAGAGTTCGCTGAGGTGTTGGCGCTCTGGAACGTGGCCCGCGTGGTGAAGGCGATCTGCATGGCGGTGAAATGCGAGGCGAGGATGGCATAGATGATGCAAAAGATGGCGGACTTTCATCCATAATTCTAGAATCCAAAAGAAACCGCCTATCCAAAGGGGAGCCGCATGATGTATCTACAAAGGACGGCATCGACATGCTAGACAAACGTTCGCTGCGTGGGCTATCGTACATGGGTTGGCTCATGTCACAAATTTGCTCTAACGGTAGATCACACGGAAGAGAGGGTGTACGCGCAGGAGGAGTCATCTGATATGATGGCTCAGTTATATCACCAAGGCATTCACTAGGTAAACTGCCTGGAAATTGCCTTGTGTGAGGTGAGCTGCGATAAGAAGCGCCGAAGAATGTCGGTTCGCTGATGTCTGTTAGGCATTCTCCGGGCAAAGAGTCTTTACCGATCGGTGTTGGGGAATAGAATGAAAAATGCGGCGCTTGAGGAGTAGGCGTGTCTGTCGGACATGAACTTTGCATAGGTGGGTAATCCTGTGCCATTGTCTGAGCTAGATTAAATCTTCGTGGCGGGGACGTGCGTTTTCGCATGGGAGTGGGCTCGTATTGCTGTGATGGTTGGCAAACTGAACGCTGTGTTGGACACGCAGGAGGTGGTGTTCCCATAAGCACACACGATGTATCTCTTCGAGAATGCGATCGCCTTGATGATGAAGCACCAGAAACGGCAAAAGAGGGTGGGCTTTCGTCGGCTAATCTTGGGTCCAAAAGAAATCGCCTGTCCAAAGGTGAACCGCAGGACGCATTTTCGAAAGAAGGCATTGTTATTTCGTCTAACGGCTCACCTGGAAATGACAGCGAAGGCGTTGCAGGTGAACGAAAAGACGGAGCACTGACATCGCAAACCATGTCAGAAGGCAAGTCCTGTGGCATTTGTATTCTTGCTGGCGAAGGTGGTGTTGGCATGTCGCAAGGCGTACGCGCAAACGAAGGCACTGTAACGTCTTCCAAACATTCGCTCGGATACTGCACTGGTGAAAGCTGAAACCTTATTGGTGAAAATTGAGGCGGGGGTGTAGGCGTGGGCGCCGGTGGTGATGGAGCACACACATCCGGGGTGTCCAAGAGACGTATTGGAGTATAATGCGCTTGCGGTGTAGGTGATCCTCCTGGACTATCGTACATTGGAGCCGATTGATCGTCCAAACATTCGCTTGTATAGTGTTGCCCTTGCTGTTGTCTCGATGGCGACTGCGCACGCCTTGGTGGGGGTGTTTGATCCGGCCAAGGTGAGGCGTCAGATACATCACAAAAGTCTGGTGCAGAAATATCACAAATATCCGGTGTTTGTGGTTGCTCTGAACATTCATTACAGTCCTCTTCATCATAAGCACCGCTAAATTGTGGACTCGAAAAATCTTCCAATTGCTCCGATGGGAGGTCAGAGACATTGAATCTGGGCTGTTGTTGATAGCGAGGTCTTGCGTTTTCCGCGCGCATTGCTTCAAATGCATCAGCATTCTTTTCATCTAGTGAGGGGTATGGTAAACAACGTGCCTACAATTTGAAACGCTAGCTGTGCACACTTACAAGTTAGATTTTCAAACATGCGTGGATGTTGAAACTCTTCATCTTCACATAAACCAAACTCATGTGCCTCATACTGACGTGGCGAGGGCGGAAAACGAGGTGAGGGTGCGCTCAAACGCTGTCTGCCGCGATTCTGTTGTGCTGGTTGACATCCACTGACTCGTTCGTCATCGATCTGGTGCATGCTGTTGAATTTTGTTCTTTGAAGAGAGAAACCCATTAGCGGATATACTATATGTATACATGTTAATACTTAGACGAATACCTTCGTTCTTCGAAATACGTTGGTGCATTCAAATCATTAGAATTACTAAAAACAAAACCAACTACATATATGGATATACGTATTTATAATAATTATTGTTCTTTTGCGCTGCATTGCAAATACCTCATCTCGTGCAAAGTTTCAAAGGCCTAGTCGACAGTTGTATTAACTTTCCAAATCAATGTAATTCAATATGATAAGTCATAGAACACACAATGCAACTCCAACTCCGGTAATCCGAGAAACTGTCTTCGCAATAAAGCTTTTTTTAACCTAATCGGCGAACGCTTTTGCTAAAATAAGAAACTGGAAGATTTCGAAATGGTATTGGCCGAAATTTTTTATTATTAAAATAAGTCTAGAAGTGATTGTTTTTGACTACAAATTTTGTTTTATTCTGTTTATGAAAATCCAGATTTTGTGGAACATTTCAAGTCATTGTAAAGTAAAAAAAAAAATCTTGTAGCAACTGCCATCGAGAAAGAAGTGTAGCCATGTTGTTGCAGCATGAGAAAAATAAAATTACAGTATCTATTTATAAACTTGTTCGAATTTTTATTTATTAAAAATTTTAGTTTGATACATATTTTTGTTTTAATTGCTCTATACATTGTTCATTCGGTTTCACGCATATCAACATGCGTTCCTGCCTTTTCATACATATTAAGTATCTATTACTAGTGGTTAGTGGCATCCACGCAGTCAAGCGTAAGTATATGTATATTCATCAAAAGATAAGCTAAAACACTCTCCAACGTGCGTGCACCTATGTATGTACTAGGCGGCTTTATTTGCATACAATGTCTTTTTACTTCTTACACCAAACTCAATAGAGGAAAAATAGATACAATGCATGCAGCAAAGAGCAGTAATTCTGTACTTAGTTTTAAAATATTAAAATAAAATAGCCCAGTACTTTTTAAGTGTATGCTTTAGCATCTATATGTATGAATAAAACCACACTTTTGTATCTTTTCATAGCAAATTATTTGTTTTCTTTTTTCAATCTCTATTTCTATACATTTGTATGATTGTATAAGTGTTTAAATTTAAATAAAACTAAAACGTACTGAGGATGACTTAACACGCATATGTATTTGTTAGGATAATAAAAATTGCAAACAATTGGTGATGTGTAAACAGTTCAATTTTTGTAAAAAAAAAGCATTTTCACACAACACCTTCCAAGTGTTGTGCAATGACACTGCTTCCTCATTTACAAACGTATCTTTGACTTTAATAAATGAAAACGGAATTAACCACATCTTGTATATTTGTATAAATGTGTATTTTACGTAATTGAATTAAATGTTGTTTTCTGAGCAGTTGGTCAAATAGCTGTGTAGAAAAGTAAGACTAACATATATATATGTATTGTAGCTTTTTTCTTTGCTAAAACAATGCCTATTTTGGATACAATGACTTTAAAACGTTAATTATGGTATGTTGTTCAAATAATAGTAATGAATCTTCATTGTTTTTTGCTGGTTTTTTAGGGCTGATTGTAATCAGTAGATTATCATTTTTGGAGTTCTATGCTAAGCACCAATTATTGTTTTTGAAACAAATTTGCAAACTCTTTCAAAAGCCTTAATTTTTCTTAACAAATTTCTGACTTCATTTCATGGTAGTAATCGTAAGACATGCTGATATCTGTGTTCTTTGTCGATTGTTGATTTTTGTTGAATAATACAATACTTGCTCAAACGCTTGCCCATTTTATGTATACGTACTATACAAAGTCAACTTAAACTATATGACTACGCAAGCAAGCTCATTAAGCTGTTTGCATATGCCATTGGCTTGACATCAGGGTGAGGCTACAATGAAAAGGAAAAATACCATAAATTAAAAAAAAAAATAGAAATTTGCACAAATACAAGTAAAGTAAAAAGGGGCACTTACCACAGCCTCGAACGATTGGAAATTTGGTTTTAAATCATTGCCTTTTATTGTTATGAAAGCACCCATATTGCCCATAGTATCACTGTAATCAAATGAAGTTTCATAATATGCAATGTTAATACGAATAGAAGCAATAGAGAGTGCAAAATCAAAAGATGATACTTTGACAATATAGTATTTATGTATGTAAGGAATTTATAGGAATAACTAAAAACGAAAATTGAACTTGGGTCGGGTCTGGGAAACCAGAACCCAAAACTCTTTAAATCAATGTTTTTGCTGTAACAACGCTAATAGGCTTCATATACCATAATTTATGGTTGTTGTTGTAACAGCATATAAATTCCCAAGAGTTTTTGGGGAATTATGCTGGAGTGACGGTACTTGGCCAGATATGAGTCTGGGTCGTTCCGGTTACGTAGACCCGACTTTCATGTGGTCGCTAGCTTTAGTTTTTTTAGAAAGATGTTTTAATGTTTCATTGAAGCACACCTGGGTAGTTTTTGAAGCATAGATCACCTTGAGGATATTATTAGAAAATACATAAGTGCGTCTGGGCCACACTACAGAGGTGAAATTGCTGTCGCTTTATCTTACGTATCATATTCTTAAGCTCTCGGAAAGTGTGCTGCCAACTTTCATAAGCTACGGCGGGCCTTAGTGGGAAACGGAAATATTAGAGGGCTAAAAAGTTTCCAACTTTTTTAATCTAACCTAAAACCGCCGAAGGAAGTATTTTATGGTGGCATTTTGTAATTACCATTAAAAAAACTGCAAACGAAAACTAACATTACGCGATCTTTACTTTTAATATATAAATGTGAACTTTGTAATATTTGTTTATATGGTTATGTGTATATATATGTAGGTCATATGACCGTAATAAATAAATAAATAAAAACTACCGCCGCTAAAGAAGTCTGACTTAAATAATTATCATAAGGGAAAATCTCATTCTTTGATTAGAAAAAAAGGAGTTCGTAAAAACTTACCAGTAATTAGGTGCTGAAAATACAGTAATACACTGACCGTCGTGTGTGACCTCATAACCCATATCCTTGACTTCATGGCTACGTACAACATAATCCAGATTATTGCGATTACAAAACGCTTTTGTGACATCGGGTCCAAATTGTATGCCCACACCACGTTTTGAAGGTCCACGACCAGGCCATGCCTGCGGATCGGACCATAATAGCTCACACATGAGACCCTCCTCTGGTGGCTGACAATTACGATCGATGCGACGCAAATCTTCCAAAACGACATTATCACTTGAAAATAGACCACCATGCATAACAAGAATTTTTTTGTTAATGCAGTGGCATAGTGGCAACCAATTGAATACACGTGTAAACATATCAGCCATTCGGGATGTATATTTAGCTGACACCTCACCAGTAAAGCCATACATTTGGTTCATATTAATGCTCTCATGATTGCCTACGAATATTTTTATTATAATTGGTAAACTATTAACAAAATTCAGTTGAAGTTTATAGTTACCTCGTGACATAAAGAAGTGATTCGGATATAAAAGTTTAAAGCCAAATAGTGTAAAAATACACTCCACAGAAAATGAGCCTCTATCAACAAAATCGCCATTGAATAAGTATGGATTCGTGGGCGACGGCAAGCCATTTATTTTAAATATATTCATAAGATCATAAAACTGACCGTGAATATCACCACAAATTGTAAACTTAGATTCATCGGGCACATTAATGTCGACCAGAGAAGGCTGAGTACGCATATACTCATCGATATCGCAGAGTATCTAAAATATATTATAATTATGTATAAATGGAAAATAACCGCTCACATCTAAATCGATATTTGAATTTTGCACATACTTTATAGGCGTATTTACGATGCAATATTTTTTGGCTCTTATAATGCTCCATTAGTTCTAACATGAATTCCAATGTTACTTTATTATCTTTGAGGGCCGGCCCCGTATAAGCATCTTCAATAGCTGAAAATATACATTATTATAAAAACTAAATAAATGTTAATTTAAACATAATTACTTATATCTTCTAATTCCTTGTACATCTCGGCTAACGTTTTTTCGGGCGTATCAACTGCAATGGCACGTTCGAAAGCACGCATTTTAACTATTTTATTGCATTCCGTAAACTTGAGTTTAGCATCTTTGTCATTAGGACGACATTTTGAGACCTGTAAATTTCAAAGTACTCGTACTATTAATACATTAAAGTATTTATTATATATTTATATATAACTTACATATTCAAAATCGGATAAGGCTTGCTTAAATTTTCCTAAAGACATGTGTGCAGCAGCACGACGATAGTACCCTTTCAGGTAGGTTGGATCGGTTTTGACAGAAGCAATACCATCCTGCAGCGCGAATCCAAAACTCTCTTGCCGCAGATGAGCTAGTGAACGGTTGGCATAGTAAATAGCGCACGGATATAATTCTATAGCTTTGGTGTACATTTCGATTGATTTAGTGAATTCCTTATCTGAGAAAACAAAGTTCGAGAATGTTAAAGTGTGATTGGTAAAATTATAAGTTCCTAAACATTTTCGTATATTTTCTTAAACATATGTAGGTACATAAGTACTTCTATTAATAACAAACTAGGGTATTAAGTGAAAATTGTGTATTAAACATATTAAAAATTACGGATATATCAATAGATATTCTTATTTACAAGTAGGTGATGTGATATTACAATTAAAAAGTAATAATCAAGCTATTTGCTTTATCTTCGGGCCCTCAACTATTACAAAAGCTAAATTCGCTTTTATCAGATATCAATTAACACCCGACGGCAACAACATACATATAATACCAACAACGATTTCCTATTTGTCGTCTGCTTTTTCTATCGAATGCTTTAAGGTTAGATTGAAGCACGGTTAAGGGGTGCGCGCTTTCATCTTTAGTTTGACACACGCGTGTACATAATAAACGCAAGGGCAGCGATTTTACAAACAATCCGGGCAATACATTTCTTACACAATGACTATATCATATCATTCATTCCTCGTGTGAATAGCCTATCAGCAGGTGTAAATCTTGTTTTGACTTACTTTTTAACAGTTCGTTCCCCTGATTTTTGTAATTTTCAG